CCACAGCCCTCACCCTGGCCAGGTCTGACAGTGTCTGCTGCCAGGGATAAGCAGGGGAAAGGTAACTTGCTTCAAGAAACAAACAATGCTGCCTGAAACAAAGATGATGATGATGAGGAACCAATTTCCTCATCTATAAAATGGGGGTAATACTGGTACCCATATCATAGGATTGTTGTAATAATGAAATGAAATAAAGCCCTAAAGCACTTGGCACAGTCACCAACACTCAGTGAATGGCAGCGTAGCATAAAAGTTCCCATTTCTTGAGGGGCCTTTACTACATGAGCTCTCATCCTCACAGCAACCTATGAGAAGGGTATTTCCATCCCAGTACGACAGAGAAGAAAACAAAGCACAGAAGGGTGATTAATCCAAGGGCAGTAGGACAAGCCAAGCTGTGATACAAACCCAGGAAACTCTCAGTTCAGCTTTTCCCAGAGTGCAGCCCACAGGCTCCCGGCAGAAGACTGCTCCAGAGGGCTGGTTTATAGAGTTGATTCCTGCCCTCAGGCCTCCATCCTGGGGGGTGGAGCTTGGGAACCTGAACTTTTAAAGACAAGGAAACTAAATTTTATATATGAGGAAACTGAGGCACAGAGAGGTGAAGAAACCTGCCAAGGTCACTTTCAACAAGTATGGACTTAGGACGGAATTCAAAGTCTGACTCCAGAGGCAGCAATCAGAGACTTCCTGGAGGACGGGGTGGCATTTGACAACATGGGCCTCAAAGAGAAGAGAGGGCACCATAGGGGTAGGGTACAGGCAAATAAAGGCTTGCAGGAAAGGCCAGACAACAACAGCTCAGTGTGGCTTGTGCTTCTAGATCCCTGGGGTGCAATGAAATACATATGGAGCCAATACTTCAGCCTTCCCTCAAAAGCCCAGGGACAGACATTCCTGAGCCCATCTGAGCTTCTGGGAGGAAAAACCTGTTGTGTGTTTGTCTACACCACTAGTGTCCAGCAGTGGCCCTCTGGGTGTGTCTGGTTGGTGCATAGGATGAGAAAGCTAGGGAAGGTGGTGACTCAGTCCCCACCCAGCCTGAAGCTAGTCCCATTTAAATTTAAGATGAGCTCAGAGGCTGGGAAAATGTCAAGCAAACCCTCCCTGCAGAACAGATACCAGACCCAGAGAAAGTGGCCCGAGGGGTAGGCTACCAGGCAGGAGCAAAAAATCTGGAGCAAAGCTGTGGGCTGGGGGGAAGAAAAGTCAAGAGTCCTGGGCTTAAGCCCAGCCCAACACTGCCACACTGTGGGACCTCGAGCAGGTCCCCGTTACTCTCTGGACTCCCTATTCTTCATTTACCTGTGAAACACAGAACTGCACTGGCTTCTGACTTCCTCCCAGGACTGTTGTGAACAATGGTCAGGAAAGAGCCTGACAGACTACACAATACCTCACACAGCAAGTGAAAAGATTAGAGGGTAAATCCTATTATTTATCAGAACCACCTAAAGGTGCTTTCCTTGTCATGTGAATCCTAACCACAGAGTGGGACAGGTGAGGCTGGGCCTCTGTATTGGTCCCACAAAGAGAAAAGTGATCCAGACATTATTGGGAAGTCAAAGTTCACATTTATTAAGTGCCTGTGATTTTTTTTAAACATATAATCCCACGTAAGCCTACAATGTAAATATGATTATATTCAGTCCAGATGAGGAAACTGAAGCTCAAAGAAAGTAACTTGCTTAAGATTACACAGGCAGCAAATGATGGAGACGGATGAAAGCCAGGTATCTGTGGCTCTGAAACCCACACTGTTTGTACTCTCTCAGTGTTCCATGCTCACAATTGCTCTACTCCCTTAAGAGGCAGAACATGCCTGGTATAGAGGCCCAACTCAAGCACCGACCCCTCCTGGAAGCCTTGCTGATCCCTTTGCCCAGACAGGACCTTTCCTATGAAATCCACAACACATGAGCAGCATACATCTTGCAGCATTCAGCACATTCTCCCTCTGTTCTGTGTTCAAGCATACTTCTAACAGGTAAGATGAGACACAGGAACAAACAGGTGGCCTTGGAGTTACCTTAGAATCCTCCAATGTCAGAGCTGGAAGCACCTAAGAGACCATGTTATCCAACTCCCTCATTTTTCAGAAGGAAAAATACAAAGAGAAGACACTTGTCTCAAGTCAAACAGCATCTCAGCATCAGAGCCAGGAACAGAACCTTGGCATTCTGCCTCACAGAATTTCTTTAGGGATTCCATGATTTCAGAATCAGTCTTAGGACAAGGATTATTATTTGCATTTCACAGATAAGGAAGCTGAAGCCCAGGGGAGAGGGGCCTCCCTGAGAATGGTTAACATGTGCAGACCAGATCCCTAATCTCCTCACATCCAGGCCAGGGACCAGCCCTTCCTCCTCCACACTGCAAATAGTCTGTATAGTGTGCCAAGCACAGGACCCATAGTAAAAGGTCAATGGATGTTGCAAATTGTCATTATATGCCAATGGGCAAGTAACACCTGACAGTGACCTTCTCAGAGGCAGTGCCATGGAACAGGCCCTCTGTAGGTCCCTGGCCTATCTGGGTCTCATCTACAGGACAAAGGTATTATAAGATGACCTCAGTGTCTGCTCCAAAGTTTTAGGACATCCCAGCTCCTTGACAGGAGACCCCAGCTGTGTTGTGGAGTCTCTCAGATGGGGCCTTTGTTCTCCCACCCTATGAGGAAGCACAAAAAAGCTCACAGCTATGAACTGACTGACTGTATTCCCAAGTGCCACTGACCAAGCAAGGCCCACCTCTTATATAACAGTGGGATGGAACATGGAAAATCCAACCATCTCCCAGCAGACATCCAGCTGGGCACACCTGCCTATCTTTACAAACTAACAGAGATCAACCAGGAATTAGGGCATAAATAAGAGACAGCCTACTCACTGCCCTACAGGAAGGGCAGGTGTATTTCTGAATAAGCAGGTGGTAATGTAATGGAGAGCAAACAGAACCCTGGGTGGAGGGTCCTGGGCCTGGATCCCTGTTCCAGCTCTGCCATGAGGTAGGTGTGTGTACCCAGCAAACTGCTTTCCCTATGTGGGGCACAATTTAAAGACAGGACGACACTTCACAATGGTAGTTTACAGATGTTTGATATTCATGACAACCCTGTGAGGCAAGCACAATTATCCCCTTGTTACTGATGGGGAAACTGAGGCTTAGAGAGGCCAAGGGTTTCACTCAAGGTCACACAGCTTGAAGCCGGCAGAACCAAAGCCCCAGAGATCTGAGACCACCAAACCCAATACTCAAGGGCAGTAAGATTAAGAAGAACTCTCCTTCCCCTTATCATGGTTAAGTCTCAGCAAGACCCAGGCAACACAGCCCCTTGTTCACCTCCCAGCTTGGTGGCCGGCAAAGTTCTGGCCACAAAGCCCAGCTGCCTAGGAGGCCGCACCCCCTTGCAAAATTTTATTACTCAAGTTGGCAGGAACGCAGCCCCCACCCCAAGCCGGGTCTAAATAAACGCCCAAGTGATATCACATCCTGCCAGCTCCAAAATAGCCCAGGCCTGCCCACAAGCGATCAGAAAGTGCCAGGCCATGCAGGGCCAAGCGGGCAGGGATGTCCAGCCGATGGCACTCCCACACACTCAAGCGAATAAAGCAGAAGCCTCAGAGCAAGAAGGCCCCCCACTCCCACCTCTGCCAGAAGGCCTGGCCCCTCCCGCCTTGCCCCTCCCGCCTTGCCCCCTTTGTCGAGAGGCCCCAGAGCCTCCTGCCCCAGCGCCAGCCCTTGCCCCAGCGCCAACCCCATGGAGCCTCAGCCGCGGCCAGCCTGCGGGGGGGCTCCGCCCGACCCAGACACCCCACCACTCACATTGCTTCAAGAGCTCCAGACACAAAGCCATGAGGGCCGGATGGGGGTCAGATACCCAGACACCGGCAGAGACAGAAAAGGAGAGGGAGAGACACAGGAGCAGAGAGCAGGGGAGACAGGAGGCTGGGGCAGAGAAAGCAAGAGGGTGCCAAGAGCCCTGGGCAAAGGAGCAGGCTCAAAAGGGGACCTTCAGCGCAAGAGACATTAAGTCGTGAAACCACGAGACAGATGTAGGGGCAGAGAGAGGCACGGAGAGCAAAGCAGGGGACCCTGTCCCAGAGAAATCGGAGGGGGAGGGGCGGGTGAGGAGGCCTGAGAGAGAACACGGAGAGAGCAACAGCAGCGGACGGCAGGGAGCTGGGGAGCTTTTCGGGGTCCCAGGGAGAGACCCCAAGGAATCTCGGAGGTCCCAGTATATATGGGGGGCACAAAAAGTGGGAAAATCCTGAGGAAATGAGGGCTAAGAGGAGCAAGGCCACAGGGATTTGGGGTACAGATGCAAAGAAGGACCCCAAAGGATGTGAGGGAAGCTTACAGGGAGCGCTGGGGGAGTGTGGAGGATGTGCTGAAGGAAGGGTCCCCAAAGACGCGGGGGCGCTTTGAGGGGGAGTCCCGAAGAATGGAGCTCAGAAAGGGAGGCTGAGGGATGAGCGGGGCGCACTGTGGGGAACCCGAGATCGGGGAGCGAGGGAGGGGCTGTGAGGCACCGCGAGGGCAGAGACAAAGAGACAGCGAGCCAGGGAGAGACAAAGCGGGCGGAGCGGGGAGACGGACCAGGGGGCTGGCGGCCGGACAGAAGGACGGAAGCGCGGGCGGGCGGGTGGACCGACGGACAGACGGGGAGGGCGGGGGCAGGGCAGGGCTGGGCGGGGGCGGCGCCCGTCTCCTCGCTGGGCCGCGGCTGCTCCGGGCGGCGCTGGGCGGGCCCCAGGCGTCCGGGCTGAGGCGGCGGCGGCGACGACGTGGACCGGACAGACGGACGGAGTGACGGACCGGCTGGCGGCAGCTGCGGCCAGCGGCGGGCACTCACCCTCCTCCCTCACGCGGCCCGGCCCGAGGCTCCGGTTTTGTACGCCCGAGGGGTGGAGCCTCCGGGTTAAAGCCCCGCGCCGACCCCGCCCCGCCCCGCCTCCCGCGTCAGCCGCACGCGCGCGTCCCCCGGGACTCCCGGGGAGGGCGGGGGCGCGCGTAGCCTCCTCGGCACCTGAGCCGTCGGGCGCGCGCGGCTGGGCCGGTGCGCAAGCGCGCGGGGTGCTGGGTCCCGCCCACGCCCAGGACAGACCTTGTGAGGGAGCGCGCGCTCACGTCGGCACGCGCATGCCTAAGCACCGGGGACTCCGCCCCTCGAGACTCCCAGCCAAACCGGTTCCAGCTGGAACAGGACACGTGTTCCATGCCGGGGAAGTCCTAGCGGAGTCGGCACCGTTCCGCCGTGGCGAAACCTCGCCGTTATCGGGAGAACCTGAGGGTCAGAGCAAGCAGCCCTGAGCTGGCCTTCTCACCCTGTCACGGTGAAAAGTCCTCAAGTACTATCGTCTCATGTCCTAAGTGTTTCTAGTTGTACCCTCCGCTCCGTCCTCGCCGTGCTGACTTCACCCGGAGTACCCCAGATACGACTCCAGTTTTGGCTTTGCCTCTGGAGGTCTGTGTGGTGTTGGATGAAATGCTCATTCAACCTCCCTGACTCCTCAGCTAACTGAAACCCATCGTGCCCTGGAGGGCAAAGTGCAGTAGGTGCTGCTAGAATCGTAAGTCACTCTCTTTAAGCCTCACGGTCCTCCCAGTTCTCTGCGAGTGCCCCCTCCTCACTTAATCCTGGTCCTGGTTTGCCTGAGGGCCTCATCCAGGCTGCACCTATGGCCGGTCCCCCATCCACAAAGAGCTCCTGTTCCCCGACCTGCCTTATTGGGTGGCTTAGGCATGTCCCTTACCTTCTCTGTGCATCTCTTTACCAAATGTGAAATGGAAAAAAGTGGCTTACTGAAGGTAACACAGTGTTTCCCACACCACTGTCAAGATATTTGCATAAAGGTATAATAATAAAAGCAACTGTGGGTTATTGAGCCATTTTGGTATCAGGCATTGTGGTAAGCGCTTTGAAAGTACAGCTGACCCTTGAATAAAGGTTTGAACTGTGCAGGTCCACTTACACATGGATTTTTTTTCAATAAGTATGTTGGAAAATTTTTTCAGATCTGCCAATTTGAAAAGACGTTTTTTCTCTAGCTTACTTTATTGTAAATACTGTATATAATACATACAAAAATACATGTTAATTGTTTATGTTATCAGTAAGGTTTCCAGTCAAGAGTAGGCTACTGGCAGTTAAAGTTTTGGAGAGTCATAAACTATAGATGGATTCTCAGCTACATGGGTGTTGGGCGCCTAAACCCAGTTTTGTTCAAGGGTCAACTGTATTAGCTTATTTTGTCCTACTCAGTCACTATGTTAACAACCATACTATTCATTTAGTGTTTATCTTTACATTTATTTACTTGGACAATTTCAGAAAGCTCCTAAGCACAAGCCTGCCTTGGGTTTTGCTCTGGGGAGCCACACTAGCCCCTGCTCCTCCTCCAACACACCAGGCACCCTCCTGCCTCAGGGCCTTTGTAATCACTCTTGCCCCTGCACGGAGTACACCTCCAGCTTCCTCCAAATCTCAAAACATCTCTTTCTCTATGTGTTCTACCCTAGCTACCCAATTTATGCTGCAACACCCCTACCCTTCCCCCTGCCAGCACTCCCCAAACCCTTTGCCCTGTGCTACTGTCCAATGAACCATATACTTACTTGTGTTATTTACATTTATTTTGTCTGCTTCCCTCAATAGAATATACTCCCCATGAAGGCAGGGGGTTCTGCTTTGTTCACTGATGTGCCCCTGGTGCCTAGAGCATGACCTGGCCCATTGTAGGTGATGAATAAACATCTATCCAGTGAAAGAGCTGCCTGATTGCAGGGCTCATGTCCTTACCCTCTATGCTGAAGGGCCTCCAAGGTCTGACTTGAGCACCTCAGTCTCTCTTCTTTTGGAGTAACCTCTCTGCACCTGGGGGTACAGGGAATGCCCTGTCTTGTTCAAAAATCTCAATCCTGGGATTCAAGGCCTACTCACAAATCCTTCATCCCAGCTACTATTTCCCCAGAGAACCCAATAGGTTTGCCTAACAAGGAATTTAGAAGAGTGACTACCTGTGCATTCTACACACAATAGGCAGTCAATTAGCCAGGAATGTCCTGGCCCAAGTTCTGGAGTCCAGGGAGAAAGCCTGCCTTCTGCCCAGCGCCCTCTGCGGAGACATGCAGTGGTAGAGGATTCTAGCTCTTCAGCACTCACTCTCAGAAAGCATCCTGCATCCTCCCATGACTCTCTCGGACTCTATGGCCCCTGCCCAGGCCTCCCACTGTACCAGCCTCCAATCCGTTCTGCCCAGGCTGCCAGGTCATTCTCCCTGAAACTCCTATAAGCATACCACACCTCTTTACCAGGACCTTGGATGGCTCCCCCTACCTGCCAGGATGATGGAGAACTCAAGGCTTTGGAGCCCGACAGACCCAGGTGGGAAACAGCTCCTTGACCTCTAACTGGGTGACTCTGACTTGACAGTCACTTTCTCTAGGCTGCAGTTTCTTTGTAAAATATCTGTAAATGTGTATACGCATATGTGTGTGAGGTTAAACCCAGTTAAATCAGGAATGTCAGATATGTGTAACTATTTTGGCCATGATAGACATCACTAATTGATGGTTGCACACTTCTCTGCTTAACTAAATCTCAGTCCTGAGCTCCAGGGTCAGGAAGGACACATGGACTGAAGTATATATGCAATCTCTGGACATGATGGTTTTTGAGGTTCCTCTCCATCCTGGCATTCTGGGGATTGAAGTGTCCAATCTGACAGGAGCTTGTAATGTACTAAAAAGACTGTGGAGGGCTAGGCCTGGGAGAGGGCTTATGGGACAAGGCTGACTGGAGGGTTGACTACTGGAATTTTTATCAGCCTCCCTTCCTTTGTCTATGGAGGGGGGTGTAAACCAGAGAAGAAACTGAGAGAGTTCTTGGGGATGGGAGTGGGGACAAAGAAGGGGGTAGAACATTCTGTGACTTGGACGGGAGGTAGCTGGTTGGGAGGGGGTCCCCAAATTCAAGCCTTAAAACATGGATGGAGAAACTGAGGCATGGGGAGGCATCCACCCAGAGTGACACAGGGAGCTAAAATTGAACTAAGGCTTCTGAGCAAGGAGTAAGGGTGTCTCCTGGGCTAGGAACCTATCCCGGCTCAGTGTAGAGCCTCAAGCATTGCCATGGAATGACCCCATGAGTGTGTACCTGTGTGTGTGCACATGTGTATGTGTGTGTACCCATGTGTAAACCCAGGCAGGTGCAGAGAATGCAGTTGGCAGGAGTGGGGGTGCCACCCAGCAGCCCACCACCAGCACACTTGCCAAGGCCCTTGGGTGACATCACCCTTGTGGTTCAGAGGGAGTGAGAGAGACAGAGAAAGGGAGGCTGGGAAGGAAGAAGGGTAGAAACTGAGAGGGAAGAAAGGGTGGGAGAAACAGAGCTGAGGGAGGCAGCCCCAAGGCTAAGACAAGGGGGTGGGGAGGGAGAGGAGAGGGAGCCGGGAGAAAGGGAGGGAGGAAGGAGAGCAGATGAGCACTATTGGGAGATGGGCAGAGGAAGGGGAGGGAGTGGGAGGGAAGTTTTCTCTGTTCTTTTCCCATCTTTCTCAGAGGCAGAGAGGCGGCAGGATGGAGCAGACTGAGGGGTGACGGACCCCCTGTGGTCCCTCCCCAGTAGGTCCTAAGGCTGGGAGGGGCATTTATACACAGCCAAGCTGCTGCTTCCCCCACCACCCCGGCTGGAGCTGACCCTGCCTGCCAGTCACCTGCCAGAGCTATTTCTGGAATGTGGAATCTGGGTCAGAAAGGAGGGGGGGAGCTGGCAGGCTCTGGTGGGTGGGTGGGCAGCTCCATGCCCTGCCCACAGCCACACCAGTGGTGCCTGCCCCTTTCAGGCTTTCACTGCCTCAATAACCATCCCCATGCACCTGCACATGGCCTGATGCATGTGTGCCCGTGTGAGAGTGAGAAAGTAGGAAAATCTCCTGCCCTTAAGCAGTGTGGGCTCAGAATACCCCTAGGCTGGGGGCAAGGTCTGAACTGCTCACTTCTTGGAGACAGATGCTGAGGAGAGGGGGCAGCCTTTCAAGGAGTGGCCACTGCAGGGAGACAGTGGCTGAGCAGCGAGGTGTTGGATGTTGTGTGTGTCTGTATGGAGGGAAGTGATTATGGGCAGGACTGCCATGCACGGATGTGCCAGTGTTACACTGATTAAAGATGCCACATACAGGGTGGGGTGGGGGAGGTGTGCTGCTCATAATATAATTGAATTTTATACTTATTATGACAAATTTGTGGCAGATGGCAGTAAAGAACTTCATTCTAATAAAAATTGTACATCATGACAAGTTTTCAACAGATGGCAGTTAAGTGTCAGGGAGCAAATGCTCTTTCTTAACCCAGTACAAAAGTACCACATCGACTAGCTGCAGCTCTGGGCACAGGTTTGAAAATCTGGTGGCTTTGGTTTTCCCTGTGAGGCAGGTGGTTTACCTGCTAAACATGAGGGGGTCGGAGGGTGGAGGAGAGAGGAGCAAGTGTGTGGTGGTTCCTGTGGAGCCCTGAGGGAGGGCTGACAGGGAAACGGGTGTGTGTGTGCGTGTGTGTGCGTGTGAATTGTTTTGGTGACTCCAATCTGCTAGAGGCTCAATCTCTTCACTGGTGTGGAGGTGGCATGAGCCTTGAAGGAGACACTCATGTATGTGAGGACCTATGCAGGTGTATGTACAGGTTAGGGATATGTGTGTACATGTGAGAATACCAGTGTGCATGTGTTTTTATATCTGTTTTTACATCTTTAAATATGTCTAGAACTAGGTGCATGTGTGCACATGTCTGGGTTAGATGTTGCTATACGATACTTTCTTAAGGGTATTGATTTGGGCTAACTTAAGAATAATTGGAGCCCCACATCCCTATATATAAAGCCAGATGCCGGATCATCCATACAGGTTGTGCTGGGTGGGTGGCTGAGATAGACTGAATTTTTTTTTTTTTTGAGAGGGCATCTCTCGTATTTATTGATCAAATGGTTGTTAACAATTAAATTCTGTATAGGGGACTCAATGCATAATCATTAATCAACCCCAAGCCTTATTCTCAACAGTCTCCAATCTTCTGAAGCATAACGAACAGGTTCTTACATGGTGAACAAGTTCCTACATAGTGAATAAGTTCTTACATGGTGAACAGTGCAAGGGCATAGACTGAATATTTTTGGCCTTAATTCTCAGTCCTTCCCTATTCATGCCCTTTGCTATGTAAATACAGTTTCTCCCACAAAAGGTGGAGTGTATTTCCCTGGACCTTGGCTTTGGGTACATATGTCCTGCTTTGACCAACCATATGTCTGCAGATTGGCAGACTTAAAACATACTTGAACAGTGGGGTTTGCCCTTTTATACTTCTGCCACCACCATGAGAAGAATGTGTCCTTGCTAGAGCCCTGATTCCAGGAGCACCCTTTGGCTCCAGGGGGAGGATGCAGGACATGCAGAGCAGAACCCACCAACCTTAAAACTCAGGAATGAAGACAAATGTGTATTTTGTGCCACTGAAAGTATGTACTTATTTGTTGTACAGCATTATTGTGATCACAGGTGACTAATATAGGAATTGGTATCAAGAGTGGGATGTGTTAGCAACAAAAATGAAAATTGTGGCACTGGCTCTGAGACCAAGTAACTGCAGTGGTGAGCAGTGAGTAAACTGTGATAGGAGGCTTGAGAAAAGGTGACCCATATTCTATAGAGACAAATGCTTAATAAAACTGTCTGTCTACAATAACTGCAAAGAGCAAATGAATATGGGCAAGATAGTTTCCAGGAAAAATGTTAGAAGCAAGAGTTGGTTCCTTTGGACTGCATTTGAAAAGGACTTACAAGACGAGCAGAACTCATAAACAAAATAGGGAATGTTGTGAGGAGTGTTTAGAAGTAATATAGAGAGTCTAGAACTTGCTGAGTTGGAAAATAAATCAGTCAACTCCATCCTCTCCAGCCAGTAAGTCATTCTCAAATTAAGCTACAGCTTGGAGATAAAGATCAAACCAAAGACACAGCCAGTTAAGACAGCATATGGGCCAGATCACATCAAGGCTATGGTTATAACATCTTTCATTAATACTCTGAAATAATAAGATACCATCTAGTAGATGCCCTCAGCTGCTCAGAAGCGCTTCCAGAAAGCTTAAAGGCTTGGCTCCTCAGAAGCCTGATGTATCCACAGTAGTTAGAAGTGAGTCTAGAGATAATAAAATGAGTCAGAAATAATTTTAGGTGTGGCTTTTGGCACATGGAATTAAATGGAACCAATTACATAGACAACCCATCAAGTGTCTGAGGTAGATGCATGGCCAAAACCATGATCAGCTTAGGCTAAAGGGACTGAGACCATTCAAGATATAAAAGACACCTGGGTTCCTAGCTTTCTTCAGGCAGGAAGCTGGCTAAGAAAGCTGTTTGTCCAAAGGGCAGCCTATGCTCTCTTTAGGAAGTGGCCAAAAGGCTAATGGAAAGAAAGCGTTTTCAGAGAGCACAGCCAAGAGCTGTGGATGACAAGAGATTAGAGAGTCAGCCCCAGGGAGAGGTACTTGGCTTAATCAAGGAATATTCCCTATCCCACAGCCTTCCTCCAACACTTGCCCAAAAGGACTTAAGAGCAGTCATTGGATCAGTAGGACTCAGAGTCCCTTCTCCCTCTTTCTGAACAGGAGTGTGAACTGCGGTTATCCTGTCCCTATTCCACCAGTGTATCCCGGGTGTGTGTGGGGTTGGGGCAGGAGGTAGATAACCTTCTTTTGGATTTTAGGTCCCTCAATCAAGATGAGCCACATCCAGATCTGACACCAATCGTGAGAGCCTGATTTTAAGATTGAATGAGACTTTGGGGGTCTTGTAGGTAACGTGTATTTTCTATGTGAGAGAGATCTAAATAAATGTGACCAAGAAAATAGACTACAGTAGATTGAATTATTGACTCCAACTCTTCTCCCTTCCCTGTATCCACACCCTTTGCCATATAAATAGTTTCTTACACAAAGGTAGAAGGGTACTTCCCCATCTCCTGTCTTTGAGCTCAGCCATATTACTTTGTTTAGCCAACAGAACTTTAGTGGCTATAATGCAAGCAGGGGCTTTGAACTGTGCTCATGGAGTTAGGTTTGCTCTCTTGCACTTCTGCCATCATCATGAGAAGGACATGTCCTGGTTGGGCCACGGATCTCAGGAGAACCCTTTGGTCCCAGGAGGAGGATGAGAGGAGTGTCATCATCAGTAAGACTGAATCCTTCTCCCTCTTTCTGAACAGGAGTGTGAACTGTGGCTGTTAGTTATGTAGCACTTTCAGAGTTCTGCAAAGCAAAGGGCTCATTTTCACATAGGTTAAGGAAGAAAGTAGGGTGGGAATTGTCACTGGAGGACTTTGACCAAGACACCTGCCCGGAAGAGCCAGGTTCCCTAGCAAAATGGGGCAGGGTGGGCAGGTGGGACAAAGGATGGAGAGCTGAGGGGGAATAAGAAGCAGTGAGCTGGAGGGGGATTGCTTGTGCCAAAGAAGGCGCCATGAGGGCCCTGCAGGACAGGAGGAACTGCAAACGCATCACCTAGGAGAAAGAGCCAGATGGTGGCATGTGCCATACAGAGAAACCTGAGGCCAGACAACACCTGCACAGACAGCCTCCCCTCCCACCTTGAGAGGCCGGAACCAGCCCCTGGTGAACGAGGGACAAAGAAGACACTGACCATCACGACCAGCTCCCCACTGTGGGCTCCTAGCCCAGGTCAGGCCCTGGCTGCAGGTGCATGACAGGTGTGGTGGACAAGACTAAAGTTTTGCAATCACACCAGACTGGACTTTTTATACCTGAAAATGAGACCTTTCCTTAAGGTCTAAAAGTGACTGGAAAAGCTCAGGGATCTCCCCAGATATCTCCCAGCGTTTGAGAGGCAATAGTAAAACAAAGTAGTTTCTTGCTCTGCCCTCTGCAAAGATCAGTTCATTCAGTCAATAAGCTAGTTTCCTGAGTATAGAATATCTGTAGTATTCAGGTTTCATTTATTTACATCAGACACCAGTTAAGCACTTGAAATATGTCTCTCTTCCTCTGACAATAGTTCAACCCTCATTGCCTTTGGTTGTCAGGAATCAAATCTGAGAACCAGTAATAAGTTACCAATTGTCAGCTCCTACCACGTGCAAGGCCCTACCTGAATACTCCACAGTCTTACTTCATCTCCCCAAGAACTTTCTGGGGTCTAGCTGTGCCTCAATTTATAAATAGGGAAGCTAAGGCTCAGAGGGGAAAACTAGCTAGTCAGAGTTAAGCTCAAAGCCCTCTCTGCTAAACTAGAAATTCTGCTGTGATTATACTTGCTCTTGAGTTTCATGGCTTGCTTATGACACAGAGTACCCTTTTTTCTCTGATCATGCATGGGTTACCTTCAGAGGATTTAGAACAAGTATCAGGAAGGGAGGGCTGTCTCTAATTGTGAATATGAGAGCTGCAAACCCATCCCTTTGACAAGGCTCAGTGCCAATCCCATCCTCTTCCCTGCAGGTGTACCTGAACTAATCCAAACAGGTATGCAGGGCTTCAGTGAGCCTTTCGCACCAGCACGTGGCTGCTCTGAGACAGTCTGGGCAGACAGGGGCAACCAAGTATCCCACAAGCCTGAGCCTTCTCCAATCTGCTTACCCACTACCAGTGGCGATATGTGCCTCTGTGATCCCCATTTGAGCTCCAGTTTGCTAAATGTCAGGAAGTCCAGCTTCAAGACCTCCTGCATTTGTTCCTAACTATCCCTCCAGTCCTGGCTAGCCCAACATGGATCCTCCTCAGTATTCCCCACCACTTGCCCACCAGGAATGGTCCCCAAAGAACTTCTCCCCATCTTGGTACTCACTTGGAAGCGTGCGACTGTTGCTGAGGCTGCCAGTGCTGGGCGGAGGGGAGAGGGACTGCAGGGAGACACTGTCCTCCTCCTGCGAGCAGCCTGCCTGGATGGCACGCAGGTAGCTGTGGCTGCGGGAGCGGAAGTAGCTAGGCAGTGGTAAGTCTAGCGCCTCTGCCGCAGCTGACTCTGCTTCACTGCAGGCTGACTCACAGGCTGCCTCATACTGGTCGCTCAGATCTGCCTCCCGTACCTGTCCGGGCAAAGGCAGGCATCAGGGGCCAGCACTGACTATTCTGGAGGGACAGGGTGTTTGGTGGTCAGCTCAGCCGCAAGGCTGGAGAGTGTGGGGTCTCAGCTCAGCCCACCCACCCCTTCCCTTCTCACTCAGGGTATGGAGTGGGTAGATGGAGCCCTTAAGAACTATACAGCTCCTCTCATCCCTCTGGGCCTCAATGTTCCCATCTCTACAATGCAGGAGAAACTATTAAGGGTCCTCACCAGAGTATCAACTAGATGATATCTTATGTATCCACACTGATCAATTCATAGATTTTGAGATCACATCTGAATTCAGTGGGGAAGAAGGCTATAATCAATTAGTGATGTCTGCCTTGAATGTTGGAATGGGGGTAGCAATAGTTGTGCTAGATATTTACCATCTTTGGTCCAATTCTTTCATTTTTACAAGCAAAGAAACTATGGGCCAATGAGGGAAAGATAACTTGCCAGGTGTACTCAGTGAGGAAATGCAGAATTAATACTCCAAATGTGTATTTAAGGAAGATTAATCTAGCCCTGACATATAAAATGAATGTTGGGAAGGGAGCCTGGAATGGAGGCAGAGGCCAGAGACGAAGCTGATGCAATAGTCTGGTGAGAAAAGATAAGACTAGAATGAGAGTGGTGACAGTGAGGAATGATCAGTGATGTCTGTCATGGGCAGTGTGGAGAATGGTGGCATGTTTGCAATTTGCCATCTCAGATCCAGTTAAACCTCATCTAGGTAGTTTCTAAGTGTCCCTCTAGAGAACATCCAAGGTCACACAAATCCACAGCTGGGGGTTTTAGCATAGAGGGGCCCCAGCATGCATACACTCCTCACGTGTTCTGGAAAGGTCTGTCTAGCCCACGTCTCATGCCATGCTGGTAACTGGAGATCACAGTGCATAAGCTGAGGAATTAGCTGGCCAAGATGGGCACTGGGTGGAGGTCCCGGGGGAGGCCTGGGCTAGATGAGAGGGGGTGGGAGTTGACTAAACACCATGTTGGGGAGAAGCTCTGCCTGGCTCTGCGGGCCATCACTATCCTCTGGTCGTCTGTGTGAAATGGAATGGCACAGGCTCGTCTGGCACTGCCTCAGGTAAAACTACTAGATGGACCATCACCAGGTTTGGCATGGTATGTTTAGAAAGGTCTAAATGTGTGCTATCCTAATGCTAGCAACTAACCATGTGTAGCTATTTACATTTAAATTTGAATTAAAAGTTTAGTTCCTTAGTCATACTGGCCACATTTTTTTGCACTTGCTCATGTTACCTCCTCAGATGGCATAATTATAGAACATTTCCACCACTGCAGAAAGTTCTATCGGACTGCACTGCTAAAGCAAAGGGAAGCTGTGTGGCATGCCCAAAACTCACTTGGAGGGACTATTAATGAGATACGTGTTTATCCACCAGAGCTGCAATCTGAAGTATTCTGAGAGGCCCCTGTGATGGCCAAGGGCAGTGAGGCCTTCCTATGGACTGCACAGTAATGGCACAGCTCTGGAATAGATGGCCAGAGTTTTAAATCCAGACTCATCATTTCCCTGTAACAGGAATATGGACAAGTCACTTTAACTGCTCTGCACCTCAGTTTCCCCATCTGTGAAACAGGGGCTAATTACAGACCGAGTTTCATAAGGTTGCTGTCAAGATTAAATGAGATAATTCATATCACATGACTAGAATAGAGTAAGCACCTGGTAGCTCTGTACCTATTATTACAGGCAGCTCTGTGCAGCGAGTGCCAGGATGTGTAAATACTGGTTAAGATGCCCCCACCCTCTGGAGGAGAGGTTAGCGGTCAGTGCTATTGGTGTGTATATCACTGAGGACATACTGTGTGCCAGGAACTGCCCTGGGGGGTTTGCATGCTAGCACATCATATCCTTACCATAAGTCTATGCAAGTTAGGGAAGGAAGAGGCCACCTGGCCCACTGTGGGCTCCCCAAAGACCCTCAAATCATATGCTCAAAAGGAACTATGACAGGAGGGTGGGAGGCACAGGAGGCACCCACAGCTGGAATCAAATGTGAAGCCAACCCTATAGCCCCTGTGTGGCCTTGGATGATGAGTTCCTTATTCACTCCTGGCCAAAATCAGGGGCTGAGCTCAGAGTAACTTTCCTGCTTCTCTTTCTGGTCTTGGGGCCGGTTGGGGAGAGTGGGAAGATTCAACCACTTCCAGGGGCAGGATGGGTGTGCACGGGAGGGGGATACCCTTGGCACAGGCAGACAGTACCAGGACTGACACCACTTCTACTAACTTTTGCAAAACTGAAAAGTCTCTGAATTCATTCCAACACCCCAACATCCTTAAAGGTCTTGTTGGAGCCCAAGAAATCAGGGAATCTGGGGGATGGGACCTGGAGGCCAATACCACCAGCCCTCAACCCGTCCAAATAAAACAGTCTCCCTAGACCTCTCCCAGGCTTTGCGGGAGGAGAGGCAGGGAAAAGCTAGAAGACTCTCAGGGTATATCCTAGGCTATTTCTGCCTCCACAGAACCGAGCCCATTCTTTCCCATTTTTGAGAAGAGGAAGCTGGGGCACGGAGAATCAAAGCAATAGGACTTAGGAGCAGAACGCCAGGGCACCAACGTAAGTCTCGCCTCCATCCTCACTAGAGGCGGCTTTCTTGATGCCGGCTCAGCTTGTACCTGTTTGGGCCAGGGCTAAGACCACCCAGAAACCAGGCCCGAGACCTAGCCCTGGACTCGGATTGGGGTACCAGAGAATGGCAAACATACTGACCTGATGCTCATGGCCAAACAACTGGGGGATCAGGGAGGCCTGTCCAAAAATCTGCAGGAAAGAGAGGGGGAGGGTTATGGGGAGACCAGAGACGGGGCTGGGGTGGCATATTCAGGCTCAGCTGCAAAAGACCCTGCAGCTGGCTGGTCTAACCTCCCCAGACTGCCTCTTGTCTTCCCTAGTCAGAGCGACACAGTCCAGCATCTGGTGGGAGGTGGTGGGGGAGCTCCACTGGCAGGAGGCAAGGCCTCAGAGACAGCCAGACCTGGGAGATCTCTGACAGGGGCCACCGATGTGGCTCAGGTCACTCATACTTCTGGAGGTGAGGTTTTGGGGGCTCAGAGGACCCTGGGCTAGGAGAGAGAGGGGCTGAGCAGGGGTAGTGGGAAAGACCTGCTAGGGTCCCCAGCCTGGCTGATTCCATGTGCCCAGGTCAGGCAGGGGATGACAACGAGGCCTGTGAGAGGGACAGACCCAGAGAGATGAGTCACACGAAGAGTGAGAGGAAAATGTGAATGAGGGGAGAGAACAGAGGGAGACAGACACAAACAGTAAGACAGAGAGACCAGAGAATGCAGTGGGAAGTTGTCCATTCAGCAAACACCTATGTACCCTGTGCCATGTGATAGGGACACTGTGGGGAACAGGACAGCAAGATCCCTAACTACAGGGAGCTCCGGGTCTTAAGAGCAAGACGGACATCAAATAAATAAGCAAACAAATATAACTCCAGGTAGTGATCAATGCTGTCAAGAAAGTTAAACAGGATAAGGGAATAGTGCCCTGGGGGCTCCTTTAGCCAGTGACAGGGCAGGCCCCTCCTAGGAGGTGACACTTGAGCCAAGACCTGAAATGCAGAGAAGAGCCAGCTGGGCAAAGATCTGAGAGAACAGTGCTCCTGGGGGAGGGGACAGCAAGTGTGACGAGGCAGGGCAGGAACAAGGTGTGTAAGGAGCAGAAGGAGGCCAGAGGGGCTGGAGCCTGGCGAGCAACAGAGCAAGTCAGGGATCATGTCTGAGAGGGAGGCGGGACCTCACAGGTCTGAGTGAGGGCTCTGGCTTCCACTCAGGGTGAGGCGGGAGCCAAGGGGGCGGGGTTTACAAGTTACCTCTGGTCACTGAGAGCAGACTGGAAGTGGCAGGCATGGAGGCCAGGACAACCGTTGGTGGGTCCTGGGTGAGGATGGCTTGGACAGAGGGTCCCGTTGCTGGGGTGTTTGCCCCTCCCCACATCGGAGGTCTCCGTGGAGTCTGGGAATGACAGTCCTGGGGCAGGGATGGGGGATGCTGGGGAGGGCTTGGCCAGCCAGGAATACAGGAATGGTGAGGAGCTGGGATCTGAAAGTCTTTCAATTCTAAGCAGTCCATTAGCCTGGACTGTGGGGCTGCACACAGTGGGACCTGGTCCTGTTCCTGTCCAGCGGGGGAGACTGGGTCTGCACCTGACTGTCTTCACTGCCTCAGGGCTACTACTGGCAGGTGTCTGTCCTCTCTTGGCCTCATGTCCCCATTCACACCATAGAAGGATGCCCTTGAGCCTTAGTTGGTCTTCCCTTTGCAAACCCTGAAGTACTGTGCACATGGCAGAGGCTGTGATTCAGGTCTGGGTCTGATGGCCCTGGATCCTGGCCATCTCTGGATCCTTTCCTAGCTGTGTGACCTCACCTATTTGAGCCTCAGTTTCCTCACCTGTGAAATGGGGATGTGGATAAAAAGGCCCCCTTTGGAGGTACCTGTGAGGGCTCATGGAGCTGATTTTTGAGTGAATTAAAATATAGTACAGTGTGCTCATTGCTGTTAGAGGCAGAACTGTCTGGTCCCTGCAAGTCCAATTTTCGACTAAGCAGGTGGGACATGGAGGTTCAGAGTGGAGAAGCAACTTGTTTGAGGTCACACAGCAAGATGACAACAATAGCTATAAAGGTAGCTATGCTTTTCTAAGCACATGATGTTTGTATTCCTCACAACCCTTGAAATAGGAATTATCACCCTTCTGTTGTAAATCAGGATATTGAGGCTCAGGAAGAGAGTGACTTGTCATGGGTTCATTCTGTCAGTAACAAGACAGTTACTCAAATCCAGGCCTCCAGTTCCCTATCCTCAGGGTTCCCAGGTTTACAGCAGTGGTGTGACCCTTCCCTCAGGGCCCACAGCTCAGGCCATGCAATGTCAGGCCCTTGACTGTGCTCCAGCCACAGGACAGTTGGTGGGGCAGAGATACACACAGAGGCAGCCTCAGGAGCAAAGACCAAGCAGAAGCACAGTGTAGACATCTGGGGACTGCTCAACAGGCTGGGCCTGGACGTCTAGCCTCCTGGGAGGAGCTGGGGCTCTCCCAAGCTAACTGACCTTCTGGCTGCTCACCACCCTCACCTGGCTGATGCAGCTGGAGTCATTGAGGCTGTCGCTGACCGGGTTGTAGTCCTCCTCCCAGCTTGGACACTTGGAAGGCAGCAGCATGTCCACTGAGTCCAGGCGGTCCAGACTCCTGGTGGGGGTGGGGAGGAGACAGGGCTCAGCCCACCCATTGTTCAGTCTGGGAAACTGAGGCCAGGGGCGTAAAGACTGGCTAAGGTCATCCAGTAGCAGAGGGAAAATGGAAGTCACTGCCAGTCCAGGCAGTGTTAGAGGGTGATGAGGGGAGGACTGTCAGCTTTTTGGAGGCCTTGAGAGTCTTAAAAGGTGCAGGTACCTTCTCCTGTCATATCTAAGGTGGCCACAAGATGGCAGCAAAAGCCTGCTTTTGACCATTTCAAACCCAAGGCAGCCCACCCCAAGCCCAATTCCACAGCCCTCTCCCCTCCAGGTGTGGGGCAATACCAGGAGCTGGATAGAGGGGGTGGGTCAATGCCCACGGCCTTGACTTTAAGCTAGGCCTGCCCAGAGGGCATCAGTTTCCACACACTGTCCAGGCGGCCTCCATCAGGTCCCTGAAGACATCACTTCTCCCCGTGGCGCTGGCACTTCCATCTTTCTCAAGGCTACCTGCCCCTAGGCCTCCTTCACCACTGCTCTGGGGAGAAGTTCCAAGCTGTTAACAACTCAGGCCCTTGACACAGTGGGGGTGAAACTGTACCTGCTTGCTTGGGGCTGTGATAAGGATCTAGTGAGGCAGATGAAAGTGCACTGGGGCAGACAGAGAGCCCAGAGTGCCACAAGGGATAACAGATGGCACCCATTACATTCCTACTACTATTATTGATTCCCTTTCATTCAAGGTCTGTGACTCTGTCCTACTCACCTCTCCCACCTCAATGATCACTGGTCATTCATAGAATTGCAGGATCCCAGGACTAGAAGGGGCCTTAGAGATCATCCAACTCAGCCCCCCCGCTTAAAGATGGGGAGATGGGGGGTTCAGAGAGCGGCAGACCGGGCACTGGCTGGCAGTGGTATGAATTCCCTGCTTTCCACCTCACTGTGCACCTCTTAGGCAAATCCCTGCCCTAGCGAGACCCCCAGTTCCTCTGACTGCCCTGCGCCTCCCGCCTCAGTGCTGTCGAGGGCGGCTCTCTCCTCTCTGCTGCAGTCCTCCCTCCAAGAAGCCTGGCTGAGGCCCTGGGTGGATGAAAAAGTAGAACTAAGTTTGTTTCTTTTAACTCTTCCAAGTCTTCTTTTGTTTGTGACTTTGGTTTTTTTTTCCTAAGTGGACTCTGAATCCCCTCTACTAAGTTTGACCTGTTTTGTACTTTCTACAGACTTGCCATAACTTTCCTCATTCCTGTTCTAATTCTTCTCATATGTAAAGCCTTACCTCTCTCTAATATTTAATTGTTACTTACTGTATGTTCGCATTTTATTTGTTCATGCTTTCACCAACTCTTCCAAGTCTTAAAGCCATAGGATGGGGGCTTGAATGGTGGAATTCCGGGCAGGTGATGGGGCAGGGGAAGGCAGTCTATCCCCCCTTGGCTTCTGGACTCGATTTACCCCCTCCCCAGTGTGGAGCTCACCACAGGGATCAGCTACAGGGGCAAGGGCAGAGGGGCTCTGACCTTGCCCAGGCAGTGCTGGTACGAGTGGCAGGGTCACTAAGGCAGGAAGAAGGTCCCCTGAGGCACTCACCTGGGATGTGGCTCCTGCGGGCAGAGTTTACCTAGGCCGGTCACTCTAGAGAGGCTCTTCTTACAGTTTATCAAAGGGTGAGGCTCACTTGTGTGGTCAGGACTTAGCTATAGGGGGCTCATGAGGTGATTAACCAAGTGGCAGGGCTCTCGGGAGTCAACTCGTCAAAGTGCAGGGGCCTGCCTAAGGACGAGGGCCTCAGGGAGGGGGTTACCCTAAAGCCGGGTTCACCTAGGGGGCCTGGATCATGGTGCACGCGGGTTCACCTGGATCTGCGGCTGGAGCGCAGAACTCATCCTTGGGTCCACTGTCTCCCGTGCGGACGGAGGGGAAGAAGGCGATACTCTCAGGAGCTGGGCATACCTATGAGGGGCTCACCCAATGGGTAAAGCTTGCCTGTGGGCGGGGCTTGTTTACGCGAAAAGCTTTCCCAGGGAGAGCTCACGTGAGGGTGCGACTCCAATGGGACACGGCTAGCCTGTGGGCGGGGCTCCATCGGGGGCGGGGCTCGCATTAAGGGCGTGATCCACGTGGAGAGCAGAATTCACAAGTGGCCAGGGCTCCTTGTGGGCGGGGCTACCAGGGGGCAGGGCTTGCTTGTGGGCGGGACTGTGGGGGCGGGGCTGCGCGCTCACCTTCGTGGATTGCTCTGCTCTCCCAGCGACTGCTGCGTGGCTCTCAGGTAGCTCTGGCGTCGCGCCGCCGTCTTCGGCGAGGGCTTAGGGCTGCCGCCGGACTCGTCGCTGTCCTCGTCGCCCATGGCCTTGATATAGCTGCCGCTGCGCATGCGCCTGCACGGGATGGGGCCCTCGGCCGCGGCGTCCGTCTCGCGTGGGGACAGCAGCGCGGTGCTCCACTCGCCGCCGCCGCCAGGCACCTGGAGATGGGCGGACAGGCCTCATAGCGGATGGCGCAGGGCAGTGCACACCCGCAGCATGCCACCGGCGCCCAGCTTGGGGCACATCACCTGGAAAATGAGCGGGGGCGAGAACCCTTAGCCCCCGGCTCTGAAGCTCCCTCGCTCCCCATCCCGGAGAGTTCGGCCTTCGTGCTCCGTACTGCCTTCGAGGCCACCCAGCTGAACTCTGGGGTGGTAGGGATACCTGGGTTCCGGAGCCGGCTCTGCCACCACTTCACTGTGCGGCCTTAAAGCAAATCCTTGCCCCCTCAGCCTCAGATTTCTCCATGGATCCCAGGCTGGGTGAGGCCCCAAGCCGCCCAGCCTTAGGATCACATGGCCTCTACTGCAGTTACCCTTCTGAGTGCCCACCGTGACCCATCATGCACCCTACTATCTCAGAGGATGACTTATAATCCCACTGCACAGAGAAGGACAGCAGGCCTGAGAGAGGCCCCCAGATCTGGCACCAAGAGCCTGGCCCTAGGAAGGTGGGTGGCAGGAGGGTCCTGGGAGGAGGGCTGGTCGGAGGATCTTTGCACATCAGTCCTGGCAGCAGGGTCCTTGGAGCCAGTCAACAGTCCATATCCCACAGGTGGATACACTGAGGTACGGAGAAGATTTTGTAAGTCCAGCAGCCACATGGTGACCTGGTAAAAGGGCTCAGTTTTCCCATCTGAACCTTAGGGACACCACCTGTGGAAGTGGGCAAGTGAGGTCACAGCTGTGAGGGCATCCCTGGTCCCCAGGAGTTACAGAAGCAGAAACCAACTGAGGGGAACTTCGCTGCCCTTTTGAGGCCAGGTTCTACCAGCTGCTCCAGGGTGGTATGCAGTCTCCACTGCTTGTCCACCTTACGCACACTGACATGTACGCAGGTAGACTTTCCCACACATACCCATCTCATCAAGGATGCACACCAGTGGCCACTTCACTGCAAGCATGTGCCTCAAGGTGTACACACAATATGAACACAGAGCATACTGACACCCCTCCTCATATATGTACCAGCAGTCACCGCACTGGACACATTTCAGTATGTCCCTACCTCACCATGGCCTTGCCTCAACACAGGTGTGTAGACTTACCCACAGTGCAGATACACACATTTCCAAGTGTACACAGCATATCCATTATGCAAAACACACTCTCAGCAGCACACCTGCATAGATACTGCATCCTTCCAGGTGCCTACATTGCCAGTGGCCAGTCCTTGCTGGAAGGAGGGTCCCCATCTGAGACTTCCACCCACAACCCTCAACCTTCCCATACACTATCCCCCAGCTAACTGCCCAGCCCAGTCACTAGGGCCTGCAGTAATCTACTTCCCAAACCATTTGCTAGTCTATCCTGCAACCTCCACCTGCCTCTTAGGAAGGTGGCCTTGTATATTCCTGCTACCCTAGCCCCACTCACCCACCTCCTGTGACCTAAGCAGGCAGCACAAACCCCAAGACCTGTAGAGCTACCCTTTCATGGTGTTCTAAAGCATTTTCGCATCATCAGACCAAACCACACCACCCTGAGAGGGAGCCAGGTCACACACCACCCTCTTGGATGTTTCTGAACTAAGGAAGTGAATTGAGAGCCACAAAAGCTTTAAATATATAAAATACTGTCTAGATTTCATTTTCCCCCTATTGGAAAAAAAGAGCTTTTCCCTATAGTCTCTCTCTTTAGAATTTTATATAGAATGACAAGAACTCAGGGCTTTGTTAGACTTTGATGTTCATCTGGTTCAAAATGCATGTAATGTTCCCAAAGACTGACCAGGCCTGCACTGGCACCCCCACTCCCCTGGCCCAGGGCCCCAGGATGAGGCCTCATCACGTACAGAAACAGCCCCTTGCATCCTTATGTGTACTGAAATCTGCTCTCTATAAATTTCCACCCGCAGCTTGGCTTCTGCCCCGAGGAACTACACCCAGTCACAGCCACTCGCCCTGCCCTTGATAGCTCAGGAGTATTGGAGCAGCAGGGACATCTCTGAGCCTTCCACCACTTTGCAGAATTGTAGGCTTGGTGCATAATAAGGGCCTCAATAAACATTAAAATTTGAAAGAAGCTAGTCCTCCAAGCTGGGTTAGGGCCTCTGAGCTCCAGCAGCCCTCTATGCCAACTTCCTCACACTGCTCACGTTGACATGACTGTTCATTGTCTTTCTCTTCAAGCTTCCTGATAATCGGGGCTATGACTTATTTACTTCTAGCTCTGTTCACTTAAGTGTCCATCTGTTCCTCTCTGTACCCCCTCTCTCCTTGCATTATCTGAATACTTTCTCTATGCCAGACCCTGTCCTGGGGTTTGGAGACAGCAGGCAAGAGGCTGGCACTTAGAATTCCATGCAATTGGTCCTATGAGGGGGTGAATGGCAGTTTCCAAGTTTGTCTTTTAAAGGGTAGGGACACATTCTAGTCCCTACTCAGGACTAGGCTCAGAAGGGCCCTAATCAGTGCCTGCTGAGGGCATGACTAGTAGAAGAAATCCCCTTATTGGCAAGTACCACCAGACATCCATTTCACAAGTGAACAAGCAGAGGCCCTCACTCACAGAGTGCATTAACTGTCCAAGTCTGTGGTACAGCTGGCCCTCAGAACTGGTGCCTTCCCCAAGCTCCTCACCCAACCCCTGCCCCTGGCAGGGACGCACCTGCAGGTAGTGGTAGGCTAGACCCTGGTGGCAGGATTTGGATTTTAGTAGGCTCTTATCCAAGGTGGCTGAAGTCTTCTGGCAGACCTCATGGGCGTGGCTGAGGGTCAGAGTGGACCAGGAGCCCCGCTTGACATAGTTGGTGTCAGTGCCCACCGCAAGGCTGGGGCAGGTGGCCGGGGGTGCAGGTGGGGGTGGTGGGGTAGTCAGCTCGGTGGTGGTGTTTTTGGTGGCTTTGAGCATGTGCCCACTGATGGTGTTGTAGGCATGCATGAAGTAGCGTGGCTGGCTGCGTTCTGCCTGTCGGCCTAGTGTCATCAGCCCAGAGGCTGGGCCACTGCTGCGGAAGGCACCGGTCTCACCATCCAAGTTGTCGTCAGAACTCCACCAGCCTGAGATGTTGGAGCGGCTGCGCCGTTTGGGCTCCCCGGCCTTGGCCCGCTCCTTGCTCTTGGCCCTCCGGCCCTTGCCGTCCTCCATGCCGCCTTTCTTGCTGCCATTGCCACCGACTTTGCCTGCCGTGCCCTCCAGTGAGGGAGCCTTGGTGAAGAAGAGCCGCTGGACTGAGTGGACCAGATGGCGGATGCGGCCAGGACTCTCGCCACGGGCCTTGGCCTCACCGCGGGGGAACTGGAGTGTGCTGAAGCCATCCCGGTGGATGGGCAACTGCTTCTCAAACTGGTCCAGGAGGTTGGCAGGCAGCCGGTTGATCTTGGTAGCCTGGGCATGGCTGGGGAAGGGGCTCTCCTCTGGCACCTCGAAGTGGGAGTTATAGTGGATGCGGGGGAAGGTGCTGCTAGGTGGCGGCAGCTGGTCATTGAGTGGGAAGAGACCATCTCCCGGCAGAGTGTTCTGCCCAGGGAAGCGAGCCTCACGGGCAAAGGCCTCGGTGGGCGATAGCAAGTAGGGGTTGCGGTCAGGCCCTGTGAAGAGGGGTTCGTGTGGTGGGTCCAGGCTGTCGGAGAGGTGGCGGGGGCGGCTGTCACCGAGGCCTTTCATGATCCTGGCCCTCGTGGCAGGGGCCGTCGCCCTAGCGAGGTGCCCGGGGTTGCCTCTCCCGGGCAGCAACTATCCTGGGAGGAGAAGACAGAGAAGAGTCAGCTGGATTTAGAGGGGACAGGGTGCCAGGAAGGTCAGCCAGATCCCCAGAGAGCTCAGGGTTGGGTTCTTTTTAAAGACACTTGGCCTGCCCTTAATAAGGTGGGGTGCAGGACAAGAATACAAATGGAGGCCCATATGTATAAATAAAAGTTACAACTCAGGTCATGAAATTGTTAAACAAAAAATATGTTCTACTCTCCTACTTTGATGAACATATCTTCACAATAACCTGGAAAGACAGGTTTGAACTCAGACTTCTTGCTTCTCTCCAAATTCCATGGTGGAATGTGGTGGGGGGATGGCCTACCCTCTGTTTTCTTCCTTCTGTGACTCTGTCCCTCGCCACAGGAGCTGCACAACTCCATGTCCCTCAAGCTCACTTCACGTGCCCCCAAACAGCCACCCTTTGGGCCTAGGGATGGTCTCACTGGCAGTGTCGGCCTCGGGAACGATCCCATGTTGGCGCTGGAAGCAGGCCTGCTCATCCGGGTCTGGAATTCCAGTGTTCCAGTACCCACGGTGTGGTCTAAAGTGGGGACATACTCTGGATGGGCATGGCCCCTTGGCCCCTGAACAAGCCTTGCATGATAGGGAAGAAAATGGCCGCAAGAGGGCCAGAGTGGCCTTCTGAAGTGTAGAGCCCAGTTTTATCCAGGTCTGATGAAAGTACTGTCCAGCTCTCATTTTAGCAGAGAAATCCTACATCAAATGTAAACCCTTTATAAAAAACTGCTCTGTCCCTCAACACATGTCTGCTGAGAGTGACCTCTGTGCTAGGCTCTGGGGGCTGCAGACATCAGAGAGGCCAACAAGCCCACTACCACATCATTTCCAACTGGGATGAATCAATGGCAGCCATCCTGGAACAGAGTTCTTAGCGAGTTAATAACAGGAGCACATTCTCAGGTCTGGGTAGAAAGGATAAGGCCTCAGGATGGGGTCGCCTTCAGGTGGAACCACTGTGCCAGATCCCCATCTGTAAAATGGGGTAGTGGGATGAGTTGGATGTTCCATCCAGGAACACCCTGGAAATACTAGTCTCAAACTTAGGCAAATTCCTTCCCTTTTTGGGCCCCAGCCTTTCCATTTATACCATGGAGCAGAGGGGAAGTCAGTGAGTTTCTAAGCCCTGGACCCCACCAGCCCTGTTAGGAGTCCCAAGGCTTGGTGTGGACTATGTGCCTGGTGTGCTGGGGGTCTGAAAGGAGTCAGTGTAGTTGGAGCAGAGCAAGTAAGGACAAGAGCAGTGGGGAAGAGCCCCTGGAGGGGCTGGGCTAGGAAGGAGTGGGCAGGCTCTGGCTGAAGCCAAGTGTGGGAGGCAGAATGAGAGCTTCCAAAGATGCCCATGTCCTAATTCCTAGAATATGTGATTACGTTATTTTATATAGTAAAATGGATTTTGCAGGTATGATTAAGGATCTTGAGATAGGGAGATTGTCCTGGGTTATCTGGAGGAGCACAACCTAATCACATGGGTCCTTACAGGAGGGAGGCATGAGGGTCAGAGTCTGAGAATTTGCACAGACGGAAGCAGAGGTCAGCGTGGTGCGGGGTATGAACTGAGGAGTGCAAACAGCCGTTAGAAGCTGGAAGAGGCAAGAAGTTAGGTTGTCCCTAAGAGCCTCCAGAAAGAATGTTCCCCTGCCACCCATTTTAGACCTGGCCTCTAGAACTGTAAAAGGATAAATCAGTTGTTTCAAGCCACTGTGTTCATGGTAATTTGTTACAGCAGCAATAGGAAACTAAGACACCGAGCATGGGTTCAGTTGTCTGAGACTCCCTCCCACCCCTCAGAGCAGCTCTTTAGGCAAATCCCAGACCCCACCAAATGCTGCATGAAAACATGGGCCAGGTGAAACTCATCAATGGGGAAACTGAGGGCTTGGGGGGAAGAAGTTCCCTAAGATCACACAGTGGGTCCAGTGCTGATGCAGGACTGGGATCCACAGTTCTTCCTACTCCTCTGCATAGCTGCCTTGAACTGTCACTCTGAGCTGGCTGGTCCCAAGACCTGCAAGGATCTGAGAATTATTTCCTGGGACCTAGCCATTTCATGACCAACAGTGCCCTAAACCTTCCTAAGCCCTCAGACTTCTGCAGTCCACCTGGTTCAAATTCTCCCCCTGAACTGCCAGAGACTCTCCTTGCCTCTAGGAGCCGGATGGACCCCACTCCTGGAGTCCAGAGCACTTTAGTGACAGCCTTATGGTGCAGCAGTCCCATTGGAACATGTTTCCACCAGGTGGCTTGTCAGAGCATTTATCCCCAGCCTGGAGAGGAAGTCCACTGACAGACACCTCTGCCTTCACCACACCATCTCCTAACAGAGCCGCAGGAGATGGGGGACCATTACCTCCACTTCACGGATGGGGGAACTGTGGCTGGGAGAGGCAGTTCTAGCCAAGGTAACTCAGACTTCAGCCACCTCAGTGTCCCAGAAGTCAGGGAGCCCGCTCCACTCCAGGCAGCAGCAGCTTCCTCTAGGTAAATCTCTTCTTGAAGACAATTTCAGGCAAATGCAAAATCACCTTCCTCTGCTCTCCAGGCTTTTCTTGGCCTCCTTACATCCCCACAGGGCCATACAGTGAGCCCTGGGCTCAGGGGCCAGCCTCCCTGGCTCTCCAGCTGAGAAAGTGTGATTCAGCAATATGTCCTTGATGCCCGCTCAATTAAGGCAGTGATACTGACAACTGAGAACACTGCAAACCCAGCCCTGCAGGGGCCTGACTCCCTAGGAATGCTGGAGCTGGAGAGGGCTGGTCACCGGGAGCACAAGGCAGCTGCAGAGCCCTGCCCTGCCCTGGAAGTGCACACTATACTTGGTTCTCCCAGCCCAGGGCACCTTCTTCAGCCCTCTCAGGGAGAAGCTGGCTTCAGCTTCACATCTCAGGTATTCCTGACCCTGGGAATCCAGAGTTGTCCCCCAGAGGACCCTGTGAGCCTGGGCCCATAGTTACTCCCCGAGCCTCAAACTGCGCAGCTGCCAAATGGGGCCAGGAGGGGGAAGTGAGGGAGAGAAGGTGTAGGAAAGTATTCAGTGAACTGTGAGGTGCTGGCACAGGCTCATTCCCTGGGGGACAAACCCTTCCCTGAGTTCTGGTGGTCAAACTCCACTTTAAATGCTGGTGCACCCCAGGGGCCTGGGCAGGTCCACAGTGCCCCCATATCAGTAAAATGCTCTAGTGTCACCCAGTAGGGTTCAAGCCAGACACCTGGGCATCGCCTTGAATTTCCCCTCCTCCTGACCTTCCTCGTCCTTCCCTAGTAACAGCCTCACTGTACCTGAACAATGAATCCGCCCCAGTCTCAGTTCCTACAATCCAGGTAGAGCCAGCCCAATCCCAGAAGCCCAGGGGCAGACACATGCCCTTGGCCTGGCCAATCAGAGCCTTACATCCCTGAGTACTGATTGGCTCAGAGATGGAAACAGGTTCCTTGCTAACCAATGAGAGTTAGCCTTGGGATTATGGCTGGACCCTTGGGAAAGAGATGCCCTCCCTTTTGTTCAGGCTGCTGTGCTGGGCAGAGTATCAGCCTAGAGTCCTTCATCAAGACCTTGCCTGATGTCTCAGACATGAGAGTTAAGAGACTTTTTGCCCAAGTTGGGTTATGTGTCTTTCAACAAGAGCCTGACTGATTGGCCTCATGTCCAGTCAGTCACTACAGCATTGGCTGTGGGTGCCCTGCCCGTATTTCCTATGGTCTCATCACTGTGGTGCCAACAGGCTGACTTCCAGCTGTCAGCATCGGCATCCCTGTGGGGGCAGGGAGGCTTTCTCCAGCAGCTAGAGCCTGCACTGCTTACATGTCGTAGCTAACAGGAACTGTCAGAGATTAATGACCAACACCCCTCACCCATTTGGAGGTCTCATCCAGTGACTGTCAGGAAGCTGGTGTATAAATACCCCAGCTCCTCCACCCACCAGAACCAGTCTCTACACTGACTCCTGGAGTTGTCCAGAAGGACTGAGCTCCAGTTGTCTATGGCAGTGACTTGCTTGATAAAGCCCCCTTCATTGGCTGCCTCACCTTCTCTGATTTACCTCTCCACTTCCACACTGTGCACCCTGTTCCCAGATGAAGTACTTGGACTTGAATCCTTGTCTTGGGCATGCTTCTGGAGAACCCCAGCTATGACAGTCACTGTCACAGTGATGCTGTCTCAGTTCTGTTTCCTGATGCCATCCCCTCTCTGTATCGTCTGCCTCTGTCACTCCCAGTCCTCACCTGGACAATTGTACCAGCCTCCTCTCTTGTCTCTCTGCGTTCACTCTAAGACCCCTACAATCCAGGTCCCAAACTACAGCTGGGATGAATTTCTAAAATGCCAAAGCAAGAGTGTTCTTCCCCTTCAGTGGCTCCCTAAGGCTCTTGGGATGAATGCTTAGCTCCTCTCTTTCCTCTAACAACTCGTCTACCTTTCTGAGTTGGAAACTTAATTCCTTTATTTTCTGACTTTCTTATATTCTAATAAATGTGTCATTGGAAAGGCTATGCATTTTCCCCTGATTACCTATTTGGCTGCATCTCATAGATTTTACTTCCCCACAGGTTCCCCCCAACACTTTTTTTAAAATGGGGGTGAAATTCACATAATATTAATCATTTTAAAGTATATAATTCGGTGACAGTTAGTACATTTACAATGCTGTATAACCACTACCTCCATTTAGTTCTAAAACATTTTCTTAACTCCAAAAGAAAACCCTGTACCTAAAAAGCAGTCACCCCCTGTTCCCTCCTCCTCCTGGCCCCTGGAAACCACCAATCTATTTGCTGTCTCTCTGGATTTACTTATTTTGCATGCATTTTATTTTTACTGTGGTAAAATATACAAAACATAAATTTTGCCACATTTGCCATTTTTAAGTGTCCAGTTCAGTGGCATTAATTACACTCATGATGTTGTGGGACCATTATTTATGTCCAAAACCTTTTTATCACCCAAACAGAAACTCTATAACCATTAAGC